AAGATTTAGATTTGAGGAAGACTCCAGAGTTGAAACTAGGTGGAGAAGCTGGGAAGAGACTCTTTTAGAGACCCAGAGCCCAAACTGCAACCCAAAACCCACTTATTTATCATTGGGTGCCGGTGGGCGTGGCTGCGGTGGTCATGGCAGACTGGGTGGGCGGGACCAGGGCAGAGGGGGTCAGTCCCTCACCATCTCTGGGGCATGGCACAAGTGCCCACAGAGAGGGCTCTGAGTGCCGCCTCTGGCACGCATGCCATAGGTTTGCCACCACTGCTATAATCTGTATGGCAGATATCTTCCATTGCAATTTTTTCCTGTGAAATCCCTATAAAAACTAAGTTTCCCTTCAGAATTTCAGGATTGGGAGAAAATGTCAGGAGTGCCACTTAGCAGACTGAGCCGGAGGAGAACCCACATAAATGCAGTAGAAATCTTGTTGCATATTCTGAAAAAAAGCAAAGTGCATTATTTCAAAATGAAAGGGACATTAGACCCCTTCTTTAACACTATGGACTCCTAACTCCAAAACTGCCGAATTGCATTCTCGATGGCAAGGACAGAGTGGGTTTGTAGCTCCAATTTATTTCCACAGGACTTGAGAGCAGAAAGATTTATTTTGTCCTTAAAGTCCTTTGTGTCTTTAAAATGCTTACAGGAAACACAGGAGCAAGGCTGGGACAGGAATTGTTCCTGAAGAATAGGTTTCCTATATTATCTCAAGGAAAGCAGATTTCAAATAAAGTCTACGGAAGTGGGGTACAATTATGGAGCGGAAAGGTCCCACACCATGAAGGCATCCGCTCCTTCCACACTGCCTCCCCCACTGCTCATCAATCATCCAGGCTCATTCTTTGATGAAAGCCAAGGCAAAACATCTCCAGGGAAATCTTGAAATGCAAAACACCTTTCTTTCTTCTGTGTGGTTCAATGAAAATTTTCCTCTCATTTACTACAGCAGTGTTTCTTAACTCTCAGAACTTTAAAATGTATGGGCTTCCAACTCCCATGCTGACTGTGGAATTCTGGGAGTTGAAGTCCACACAACTGAAACTTGCTAAGATTGAGAAACACTGCATTATAGCAGTTATCCTCCTCTTTTTCTATGTCAGCAGAATTTTCTTTCAGCTACAATCTAGGAAAAGAAACCCACTGCGTGGTCTCATTTTTACGTGAACAATTCACTACACGTCATGGATGGATGGCAGATCTCCTGTTCATTTGAGCCATCTTAATGAAGGAGACCGTTTGCCAGTGCCACTCCTGAGTAACCAGATGCATATCATTTCATGGTTATTTTAATGACAACTCCAATTGACTCTGGGTGGATCACAAAATAAAGAATATAAAAAACAAATAATAATAATAATAATAATATCCCAAAACAACTAGAGCACCACTTGAATACCATTGGCACTGACAAATTTGCTATTAGTCAATTGCAAAAGGTGGCCTTACTAGGAACTGCTTCCATCCTGCAACGATATCTGTAATACCATCAAACATCCACATCTACCTATCCCAGGTCCTTGGTAAAGACTCGATAGGTAGACAAAAATGCCAAATCCAGTCTGAACATCTGGCTGACTGTGCAATGATTAATAATAATAATAATAATAATAATAATAATAATAATAATAATATAAAGATCATCCAAAAAGAATGAATTGCAAAATAATTACAAGACAGCAATCAGATTCAATCTCAAATATCAACAGTGTAGATTGATCACTGACTGGAGATATAAGAGCATCCACAACTTTCTAAAAGTTATGTGTCTTGGGGTGGGGGGGGAAATCCGTTTCCTGTTGAAACTGATAGCAGGGAGAGAAAAACGCTGTTCAATGAAAAGAAAAGAAATTCAGGGTGAATATTTGGGCAAATTTCCTGCTAAGGAGCAGTATAGTCTGTCCAAGACATTACAGAATGGCCCACCCCACTTATTGGGGGCTTTCAAACATGGGTTGCTAAGATTGTTTCTATACACAGAGGATCGTGTGGCCAATTGGTTCCCTATGAGTCTATGGTTGGCTTAAGCATAGTTTATTTAAAAAACCACACACACACACTTGCCTGGCTTCACATAATGCGCTAAATTCATTCTGGGGATTACTTAAAAAAAAAAAAGCGGGGGGGGGGATAAGAATGCATGGATCCACAGAGCTTAAAACTGCCAATCCAGTCTTATATACAAATACTATGATTTTTCTTAAACCATATTATTTTAATGAATACATTTTACAATTTTTAAAATATTAATGCATATGCACTGGATGGAAATAAATATGGTCCACAAAAGCTGATGCAACAACAAAACTTTGAAAGAAAAGCACAACTTGTTGTTCAGATGTGTTTTGCTCTTCATGTGTTTTAATTGGTGCAGGATGAACTTCAATAGGGCAGAAATTAGTTTGCACGTTGTGGCATATCAGGTCTGTAGGATGGTAGAAGTGTTATTGGGAAAAGAAGGCAAAGAGGAATATAGATTTTTTAAAAAAAATCAAAAGAAGCAATAAACAGCTTTTATTCTTTTGAGTTGGCTGCTTTAGTCTAATAAAGTCCTCTGTACTATTTATTACAGTCACATAAGTGATAAGAAGAAAAAAATGCCTTTATAATATAAGATTCCCTTCTTTGGAATTATGTTTAAAAGATTAACAAATCATCAGCTCCTCCCACAATGTATATATCAAATTAAGGGACTATCTTGACAATCAATTTCCTTTTAGCAAACATAGTGTATGCAGCTTCCAATATTGCACTAAGCCATAGTATGTTTTAGTCATGATTTACCAAGATGATGTCCAGTGATATGTATGAAAGTCTGAATGGGTTCTGCTAACCTGGATAAACTTTCCTAAACTTATTTCACTGTAACATTAAAAGTTATTCATTCAAGCTTGACTGGGAGTTCTCCTATATAATTAAGACTCCAAGAAGTGCAAAAGAGTCCTTGTATTTATTCCTTTGGCAGTTACCATTTCAAACTTAAGCAGAAGTTCAGCCAAGATCTTCCAAGAAGGAGAAGTTGCTGCAGGTTCTAATTGTGAGTAAAACTGCAAATAGGACAACAGTTATGTCTTGTAATATGAGAGAAAGAAGAGAATAAGATAGGGAGATGATTCCGTTTATGCTTCCTTGGGAGCAGCCTACTGAATTCAGGCTGTAAGTTCATTTTAAAAACATAGTTATTTAAATTAAATTAAAATTTAATTTGACTTAAATGAATACATATTAGATAAGGAGGTAGGAGTGTGAAGTTATAAGAAAGTGAAAGTTTGTGTTAAGTCATGTGTCCCAATTCATTTTTGCTGCTTATTTTAAGTTGTAACATCTTGTCTGGTAATCTATCCATGTTGCATATATAGATTGTGGCCTGGTTCAGTGAACACACAGCTACAGCTATAATATGATCTCCTTGGGTTTTATGAATCTATCCAATTGTCAGTTATAGCATGTTGAGTGAGACCAGCCAATCGTGGTTTATTCAGTAAATCAGTGTTAAACAATCATTTAGCATGCTACAGGAATTATATTCTAAACAGTGTACTGATAAAATTCAGTTGAAGTAAATGCTCTGTATGACTAGCATGCATCTTAGAACAATTTGCTCAAAATTGAGATCCACTAAATTTAAATCATGGGAGACTGCTCCAGGTAATTGTGAACAGGTTTGATGCTTTAATGCTGACTTGATGCTTAAAACTAGTGAGTCATATAGCCAGCCTTGAAACAGTCTCGTGAGAAAGAGCACTGATAATAATCAGAATTATCTTGATATCTTCTCTCATTCCCTTTTGAATGTAATGTAAGAAAATTTGCATTTGTGGTGTCTTTTGAAATACAAAGGATCTCTGCTGAAATTCTCATGGACAGAGCTTGATGTTCTTGCTTTACTGAAAGGGGGGGGTCAAGGATTATGATTCTCCTATTTCACATCCTCCTACTGTCTTTAGGGAACTTCTGCACCCATCTGCTTAACTTCCAAAGCTATCATTAAATCTCAAAGAAGACATCAGTATGAGGTCCTGTGGGCCCTTTTCAGGTTGGGAAGTATGAATAGCCAGGCAGATTTCAGAAGGGAGACAATGCAGAAAGGTCCATGAAAAATGTCAAGATGATGTTCAGGACGGTGCAACCAAAACTCTCCCTCTTTTTTTACATGTGCCTGTGGGCAACATACATCACAAAAAGGGCCCCCTGCCATTTTGCCTTGCTTGATTCCCTCTCCTTGAAGAGACAGTAGCAGAACCCTTGGTAAGGCCAGTTTTGGTCTCCACGATGTAAAAAAGATGTTGAGACTCTAGAAAGAGTGCAAGGAAGAGCCAACAAAGATGATCAGAGGACTGGAGGCTAAAACATATGAGGAACAGTTGCTGGAATTGGGTATGTCCAGTTTAATGAAGAGAAGGATGAGGGGGGACAGGACTCAGGGGCTGCCACAAAGAAGAGGGAGTCAAGCTATTCTCCAAAGCGCCTAAAGTACAAAGACAAGAAGTAATGGATAGAAACTAATCAAGGAGCGAAGCAACCTAGAACTAAGAAGAAATTTCCTGACAATTAGAACAATTAATCAATGGAACGGCCTGCCTCCAGAAGTTGTGGATATTCCAACACTGGAAGTTTTCAAGAATAGGTTGGACAACCATTTGTCTGAAATGGTTTAGACTGGGGATTGCTGCCTGAGCAGGGGGTTGGACTAGCAGGCCCAACGGAGAATAGCCTTGAGGATCGCACTAAATAGAGGTGGAGCTTCCCCATTTGGGGATCTGAATAGGTCCCTGCCCGCTGCAGCTTTCAGCCTCATCCAGATCAGGGATCAGCTAGAGAAGGAAGTCGGGAGTGATGCCCAGGCAGAGGATGAAGCCGTCTTAGGGAGCCACTTCGGAGCAGGTAGGTGCTCCTGCGTGATAAATCTGCGGGGTAGCCTGAGTTGGAATCCAGCAGGCCAAGGGCCGAGCGGCTGCCTCCGGACGCCCCAAGCCTTCCACCGAGCAGTGTCTGTTGCCTGTCGACTCGCGGCTCCTCCTCCCCGGAGCCGTAGGCAGAAGTCAATCCTTCTCCATAGGCTGCTGCTGCTGCTGCTGCCGCCGCCGCCGCCGCCGCTGCTCTTCTTGACTGCGCCTTTGCTCGCCAGCTGCCAGGCCTCTCGCTGGAAGCCGATCCAGCAGCCGGGTGGCCCTCGCGGAGCCCGCCCGCGGGTACGGTCGAATCCCAGGCTAGCTGGCGTTTAGTAACAGGACTCCCCGTTCTCCCTGCATTCCCCCCCCCCAACAACCTCCCCAGGCTTCCTGTTGGGACTACGTAATCCCGCCACCCGCAGCAGAGCGGAGGCCCGGCCCGTCTGGCATTGCCTTGCGTTATGGACAAGCGCGGCCGGAGGATAAAGGAGAAGCGGCGTTATAAGGTGAGGGCTCTGGGTTTAAGGGCAAGAGGGGCCAGGAGGGTTTTTAAAGCGGGCAGAGTGTTAGGGTGGAAAAGCCTGGGGTCGCCCCGCGGTCTGTTTTTCCTCGCCTGGATCACCCCGCTCGGGTGCAACAGATTCCACCGGTTTCTCCCCGGAGGGAAACCCTAAATTAGACTTGGACCTGATGGAGGAGCGCTTCGCTCCAAATCGGCTTAAATCCACCCCAGATCTGTGATCTGGGCACCACTTCCAGGGAAAACTTGGTGGGGTTCCATGGATTCGGGTCCCCTTTCCTGAGAAAGCGTGGAAGAAAACCTCCCGTCCTTCGTTGACACGTCGGGACCCCGAAGGTCAAAGTTTTTCTTAGTTCCCAGGGAGCTTTCTCTCGCCGCCTTGGACCTCGTAGCGCCCTCCTCCCCCATCCGCGCCTGTTTCTCTTAGAAGAGAAAGTAACTCCCACCCGCCCACAAACATTGTCCCCCCCACTGCCCCGACTAGCCCACGCGCGATTCCCCGTTTTCCTAAATGTCACGCCGTCTGGGACATCTCGGTGTCTCGGGAAGGGCTTAACGGTTGGCGCAGCTCCCTCCAGATTCCTTTTTTACAGCATTTCCGCTGATTTCTAGTATGTGATGGATTCCACAAACGCGCTCGGTCCCCCTGGGAATTGAGATCCGAGCGGAAAAGAAAAGCGAGGCAGAAAGGGAACGAGCGTTTTGCCAATGAGATCGGCTGGTTTCGATACCGATTTGCTTGCTTTCGAGGTAACCGCGGCGATGAATGCGGAGAGCAATTCTTTCTTTCTTTCTAGGCTGTGCTGTTTATGTAGGTTGAAAGATACATACATACATACATACATACATACATACATACATACATACATACATACATACATACATACATATATATATATATATATATATATATATTGGGAACTCTGCATCTTTTTTGGGGGGGAGTCTGGGGCATATGGGAACTCTGCATCTTTTTTGGGGGGGGGAGTCGTGGGGCGAGCGTGGGACTGCGTGACACTATAGAAAGTGGGAGGAAGAGCAAAGTGACTCAGATGGTTTGTTTGTCCTTTCACTTGGGCTCCCCTCCTCCTCCTCCTCCCCCCCCATTTTCAGTACTGACGTGATATTGGCAGGACTTGTAGCGAAAGATATTTGTCTGTGTTCACTGACTGTAACAAAAGCTGGGGCACTGGATTCCGAGATAGTTTTAACGGTTCTCTCACACACTCTCTTTCTCTCTCAAAGAAATTTATTTAATTATTTTTAAAGAGAGAACTAGAGAAAATTCTGGCAGTCTTAGATCATAGCGTCAAAGCAAATCCTTACTTTGCACGCACCTTGCTAGCATGTATAAATATAAATACAGATATATAGGAAGAGAACAGAATAGAATAACAGAACTGGAAGGGACCTTGGAGGTCTTCTAGTCCAACCCTCTGCTCGGGCAGGAAATCCTATGCCATTTCAGACAAATGGTTGTCCAATTTCTTCTTAAAAACTTCCAGTGTTGGAGCCTTCACTACTTCTGGAGGCAAGTTGTTCCACTATATGGGACAAGGTTGTTACAATAGAATGACCAGAGTCATGCTTTGAGCTAAGTCTTTACTCATGATATATTGAGTAAATTGCAACAAGTTCTCGCATTTGGGATTGTAAACTGTGGCTTATAGAAGAAAAACAGCTAGGTTCATACAAGAGGCTAAGGCCGCTAAGCCCAAAGCACAATAGGCTACCATTATTATTACATAGTGGAGGGCAGAATTTAAATAGATTGCCCTCACAGTTATACTCCTTGTTCCTGCATTTTTTTTTAAAAAAAAATCCAGGCTTAATGAAAATAGCCTCTGTTTGAAAATGGCTTCAAGATAAACTAATGGTTAACTTTAAAATGGCCCTCTGATCAATAATTCATTAAGCTGCAATAAGTGTAGAAGGTTCTCTTTGACTTACATAAACAAGCCTGCGTATCTTCTGATTTTCTTGATTTGCAATGTAATTTGGATTATAAAATATATAACCTGTGCTCCAAAGGAACTCCATCTGGGCTGCCAATAATCAATTAACCAATTTCAGTAGCCCAATAGCAACTCTCATTAGAATGATAATGTGAAATTGCTGGCAGTAATTCTTAAAAGCTTGCACCCAAGTTACACCATTCAGCGTCTGCTTGGAAGCAGGTAAAAAAAAGGAGCCGGTTACAATTTCCAGAGAAGGAAACTATTTCAAAATCTCCTTTGTTCCTAAAGAACAGAAGACCTCAGAGCCTGAACTGAAAGGAATTTTGGAAGCTGAACCATATTTGCAGGAACATTTATATCAAAAAGGTAATTCCCACAAAACTGACTTGAGACCTGCTAAAACAGGAGCAGTCAATCCTCTGTCCTGCAACACATATGGATACTTTCCTTGGTATTTGTTAGGTTGTTTGCTCCACTTGGTCTTAGGGTGTTTTAATTTTTTTTTTAAATAAAAATGAAAAGCTGAGTAATTCAAGCACTGTTTATTTCTAGCAATGGCCTTGAGCCCTGCTGGGTTGCTTAGAAAATAGCTTTGGTAGGGAAAAGAAACATACTATAATAATCAGTAGCATTTGTGGGAAGCTCCTTAAAGTAGCTGCAGCTTTGTGGGGAGGGGGTAGTATGTGTGGCTTTGTGGCATGGGAAAATATGGATTAAGGGAAAGTTATTCCTGACAACATATATGCCCACATGCATTGTAAAACATTTTTTTTATTTTTAATATCTTTTTACTTGATCCTAATTGACTTTTGTAATTTGGGGCACTAAGGAACATCCTAGAAGGCTAAAGACTGAATATTTTGTGGCTGGCCATGCTTGTGAGAATCCCTGCAACATTCAGAAATGTATTGTGGATTGAACATTGGTTTTGCATTAGGAAAATGTGGATTGAGGGCACAGTCATCTTTTAAACCATAGTGTATACTGCATGAGATGTTGAATATATTTTTCTAAGTTATCGAAGAAAAAACATTTCCTAATCTAAAAAAAATATCAAACTTTGTTCTCAGAAAATAAACAATTGCCTGATTTAATTGGTTGATACTGTATTCTACTTTCACAAATTAATGCTTGAAATTAAATGCCTCAAAGCCATGCTATAGAAGTGGAAAGGGTCTATTCTTATTTATGTAGTACTCCTATAATCGTCTGAAGACATTTTTATTAAAATCATCTTGATGACTTCGTTTGCTTGCTAGAGAGATTCAAGGTTCTGATTCTTTAACAAGCTTGTTTAAGTTGAATTTACATATGCAGAACAGTGGATTATGTCAAATAGGATTATTGGTAAATCTTATTTGAACCCTGTTCAATATAATTCTTTTCAATATTTTGGAATATATTAAGATAATAGTTAATATATTTTTTCTTTTTCATTTTTCTGAAAAAATAGGCAAAAATGGGAAGATTTTTTTCCCCCAAAAAACTATTGATTCCCCCCTCCCCGTTTTTTCTTGAGAATGATGCTTTCTATAACTTCATCTGCACTGATATAATTTTAGCTGTCTACTCACTTCTGTCTCTGAATACAAGACTGAAAATAATAACATCTGCAAACTCTGTCATAATTCTCAATAAAGACTAATGCAGTAGAGATGTTAATAGAATCTGTAGAAATTATCTTTAATGTAAGTTGTCTTAATGTTAAACTTATAATAATTTCATGGGCTGTCCATATAGTTTTGACAGCAGTATATAAAAATGGTTTACACCTTCCTTTTTAAAGGATATTTGTACCAATCTTCTAACAATGGTAAAATATAATAGAAAAGTGGTATGGAAAAATGATTCAGATATAAAATGAGGCACTGGTGAGGGATGGACAAAGCAGAAAATTAATGGGCATCTAGAAATGAAATTTTTAAGCTGGAAAAAATCTATTCCGCATGCTGAAGTTTTTATATGATTTCTGCACCCTTTCCTTTAATTGTGCCTGGTGCCCTCCTTACCCTAAAGTTCCAATTGTATTCCTTATTGATCAAGAGAAAAATCTGTTTGGATCCTGGGATTTTTAAATATACATTTCCTCAGCTTTGTTTTGATTTTCATTAAATTCTGTATTCTCTCTCACGGCAGCTTGCAGACTTGCTAAGATATCCATATGTTCCTTAGCAGTTCTGCCATATGTAGAAAACTATTTGGGGCCAAGCCAATCATCTATTTAGTTTGGTATTTTTCAGATTAGCTGGAAGAGTCTCAAGCAAACGATTAAATCAGAGAGCTTTTGCAAAGCATATGCCACTGCTTAGTCATCCTCTAGGTATAAATCTTAAGAACACTTATTTGGTGAATTACACAGCATCGATCATATAACACTACTTTTGTATGCCTGATAATTTATAAAAGCATACAAGACCCAAATGCCAATTGTGATAAAGAATAGATCTCATTTTCATTTTTAAATCATTTTCCCATTTAGTCTATTGATTTCTATAATGTATATCACAGTGGCATTTTTAATATTCTCTTGCGCTCTGTAGAGCTGGAATGTATTTGAAGGTTAACTGCAGCTTTTCCTTATTCCTTCTCATGGCCTCTACATTGTTAGGCTGCTGCTGCTGCTTTCTTTTTATACAAAGCTATTTTGTGTCCTTTTTGCAGAGAAATATACAACAAAATATTTTTTTATGAATTCTATGTTCTCTTTCCTTCTGGTGAGCTTTCCGTGAACCTTTTAACTATCTTACTAATTTCTACAGTGCGAATAATACTTTTAGTGCTGAGGAGATAAAGTGCACTGAATTCATAATTTGTACTGACTATATAGAAAGGCCTGGAAGTGGGAGTGGGGGTGTCATTTGCTTTTGACTCTAAACCTGACCCTAGTGATTTCCTCCAACTGGATTTTAAATTGCAGATTTCCTGTTGCATCTGTCCTGATTTTCGTTGGATGTGCTGGATTTTATCTGGAAATAAATGATCAACACATCTGGAGCATACTAGAGTAGTTTGGGAGATGCTGAATTTG